ACTTCGAGAAACCTGTGCGCCAGGGGGAGTGTAGGCAGTCTAGGGGGTGGGGGTGAGGGCAGCCACTTGATGCCCCCCTTACTGGATGAGCGCCTGAAAATATGTTAAAAGCTCATGAAAATGCAAAATCATGAAAGTTCAAGCAGCTTAGTTTGTTTGTAACCTTTGACAGTTGACGGTTTTCGCTGCGGTTATTCCTTGAACATTTCTCAAAATTTGCAACTTTCTTGCTTCTGTTAGGGTACGGTTACCGTTTATAGCTAAGTTTGAGACCTATATAGAAAAGTACTGCACCATTGTGTTCTTGTGATTGGTTTTTGACTAATGAGACGTGAAATGTTCGCTTTGTAAACACTGCAGAATAGGACAAACATAACGCGAAAAAAATGTTTAAATGAAGCGCAAAAGTCTCTGTGTTTTCAAAAGGTTTAGCTGTCTTTCGGTGTTCAGCCTTCTACTCGTAGGGGCTTTTTAATTGTTTAGTAGAGTTACCCTTATGGAAGCGCCATGCTTGCAAGAGATGACTGGTTATTTCGTTTAGAACTGGTTTCATATCACGAGTTTTCTTTGAAATAATTTTGAGGACTTTTTCGAGTCCTAGGAATTCCAGGTTTCATTGAGGGTTAAGGACTGCCCAATCTGAACCCTTGTTCGTCATTTCTTGAATATAGAGCCTAGTTTTGCTCATGGTAGTACGTTGAGTTATAGTTGAGTAATTCTGTGAGGGGTCGTTGTCTAGTGTGTTCTTTTTTTTTCCTCTCATTTTATAGCTCCTGCTTGCCGCAGTATCATTAGTAAACGTAAAAACACTACGTACGTAGAAACAAGGTGAATGGTATGGGGAGTTGCTCGCCAGGACAAGAAGCGACATCGTTTTTCGCAGCGCGGAGCTTTTTCGCGGTGGGAACCAGGTCCATTTATGATCAGGGGCCTCGCAAAGAGGAGCCGTTTCCTGTTCCAGCACCCCACAACCCCGTGTATAAGCAGAAGCGAAATTAATTTTGCACCCCGGCGATTCCTATATCTGCAAAAATTGGTATTACTGGTGGCGAGCTATCGCCCGCATGTTCTTATTAACCTTTCGGAACCTGCTTTTCGTGCCGTACGCTCGATGGAGAAGTTTTTTCTTTAGCTAGTGTCATTAGTGGACTATGATTAAGGGACTGTGAGTGCGATCCTCCTTATCACTGTTTTTAAGAAAACAGACACTTACTTGGCCGGTTGCGGGGGTCAGCGCCCATTCATTGTTGCACTTGTACACAAATACTTGTAATACTGGCAGCAACACACAATGAAATGGTAGATTAACCTAATATTAGGAAGATGGAAGGTTGGCTGAAGCCAACCTCTAGCAGGATTAGAAAAACCATGCTGTTTCAGCAGCAATGCAAACATTAATTTGATGGCTGGCAATTGCACCGCTAGGCCGGAAACGGGTTCACGGAATTCACGCCGAAATTCTTTTCTTCATCTTCCAACACTATCCCGTTTGTCGCCTTAGCTCAGTCCCTGCTGAGGATATATAGTTGATCAGGTGTATAACCTGCGAAGGCTTTTGTATTCGAGAACTGGTCCCTTTCTCACATTTTCGCCAATTCCTCAGCTATTTCTAATGTTTGCGGTCGTTCTATGCTACCCTTTCAATATTGAACGACGTTTTTGTGTTGAAGCCATAGCCACATGGCAGACACCGCTTCGGGAATGCTGAGGTCGCCATCTCGTGATCGACCGCATATTTCACCGCTGCCCGTGCTCACGGTTGCCAAGAGAGAGAATTCTGTATTTGGCCTCAAAGAGCTGCAAATTCAGAATTCAACTTAAAGTGGGTGGATCCAGAGCGTAACACTGCTATGGACTTTCTCCTGTTTGAGGATTTTTTCATTCTCTCCTTGTCTTCTTTTTGATTAAAAAAACAACTTTCCCTTGAAGTTTTAGAAATTTATCCTTTCTCTTAGTGCTACCTTATATCACTGCTTCTTTTCTCAGCCCGAAACGGTTCTTTCAACTTTCTTTTCCCCCTTTTTTTCTGGATTCTACTGTTTTCAGCTTGACTTTTTGTCTCTTTCAGTCTTGAGTTGAGGGTGATTGCCTACAGGTAGATAAATTTTCATCGCCAACGGTAAATAATCTATCTGTTCATGGAGTTGGACGCCCTTTTCCTTTATTTCACTCTAGGACGATGGTTTTGATAAGCTGAACCAGATGAGGCGAGCGAAGCAAAGTTCACATACGTCTTGAGATTTGGTTTGATTGTCCGTAGTTTTTATGGCATCACCCGAGATCCCTGGCAAAAGCGAGGTGATTTCGCCCGCAAGATGTCGTAAAAGTGTCCATTTGATTGACGTTTGACAGGAGCCCTCCGCGCTATCATTTGCTTTCTGCTTTTTCGTTTGTTTAATAGTTTTCGCTTAGTTTCTGCTGGCTACTTATTTTTATTAGTACTGGTTTTTGCACATGAAGCTTGTTGCAATATATTTTATTTGCAAAAAAAATCATGTGCATGTGGTGGGTAGTCTTGAAAGTGTTCATTGGTGTGAAAAACAAGTTCTTTTACACACGACAGTGCCTTTCATTGGAAGTGCGGCGTTTCCAATATAGGTGGTTGTTTATGATCATGTGATTTCTTCAGCTAGCTCAGCAATAGGTTAGCCTGTAGCTGAGAACTTAGTTGTCCTCGCATTCTCTGTTTCAACATAGAATAATTTTGGTGGATTTTGGAAATTTCTGACTGATGTCGAGGACTCAACTACTTCTTGCTAGAGCGCTTATCAGTAGACCAATCTCGTTGGCAGAAGTTGTTTGCCGTTGGTGACTCGCTACGATGATTGGCATCATGACTGCCAAGTAATATAACGATAGTTTTCGTTAATGGTAATCATGTGTATATTGTCCCTAGAATGACGTTCAGTGTTTCTTGACTAATTCGTTAGTGCTCCTTCATCGAAGTTTGATATCTCGTAGTAATTTAAACCCATTGAATGTTGTTCTGTGGTCTTTGCTCCAGTTTTTGATCCGTACCGTACCTCCCTTATATTAAAGTTGATCGTTTTATAGAAAGCGTAAATTATGACGAGTGATTCCACCTCCTACAGCAGGTGATTAGCCAAAAGCCATTGAATCTTTCATATGTAGCCTCAGTGTACTAAATATTAAGTAGCGGCGCTCTTTTCCTTTTGCAGAGAATTCCTGCCAGTTATCACAAAAATGCTATCTCTCGCTTTTGGACAGGTGTGCTACCACTTACACTATCGGGGCATCATTTCACCTTAACTCATTTTTTGATGATATATTTACCATGGCTCACACGTATGACGTGATGAGCCGGTTAGCCGACATCGGCAGTGAACCGTGAGGATCAAAACTGGCAATCAGAACAGGTTCTGCCGGTGGCATGGAATAGTATTGTTCACTGGCCGTGGGAGATATTATTTCCATTATTTTTTCTTTGGCGCCTTAGCATATCATAAGGCCAGTCTTCCTTCTTAAAGCTAGGCTTTGTAAAACATCTCACAACTCGAGCAAATATTTTGATGCACTTTTTCAATAGCCCCTGTCACTTCTCCAACAATTCCACAATTGCATACATTTTCCTCTGAACTCAAATTTTCGTAACTGGTTTCTCCTGTCTTCTTGCTCTTGCTTAAGAGCGTTTGTCGTATAGGATTAATAAAGCTTGTTATAATCAACTCCATGATTTTTCAATATGGTGTCGTTATGACGCGTCAGCTTAGTTCTTTTGGTGCTACAGTAGCTAGCGAATTGGACCATTATGTTTTTTGAAGCTTAATAATGAGATATGAATTTTGTTCGTGGCTTGAATTTGTATGGAATATGAGAATAGGTTACTGTGGTCGTTCTAATAGCGCTTTCATTCTCGAACGGATTTCGTCATGAAGTGGGCGGAAATTGAAGCATTTATGCAGTTGACTGGCCCATATCCTTCCCGAGTTGCCCTACTAATTTTCATTCTTTGTCCTCTTGTTGTGTTTCTTCCATCGGTCTACTTTTATGCAAGTCTGGTTTCAAGATCGGGTCATACTGTATGCTATACGAAGTTATTACGCAAATTTTGCCTTTTTTCGTTGTAGATACGTAAAGATACAGATGCGATGTGTGATCGTAGAATTGCATGGTCGATAAGTACCTAGTTCACTCTCGGTTTATCCCTTGTTTTTCTTTTTTAGTGTGTTTCTGTGTACCAGTTTCCCAACCCAAACAGTTTTCAGCATTGTGAACGTTACGCGCAGCACTGAGTGCAGCGGGCTGGGCACTTTGGCGGGCGCTGATCGGTCCGACGGCCGAGGAGGAGGAAGCAGCCCGCCTTGAAGCAATTCGCGCCAGGACGAGATTCCATTAATTTGTGCGGCAACAAAATCGTGGGCAATGTTTTTGTATACTGTCTGCTGATTTTGAAGCTTTAACACCGCTCATTAAGGATTGTGTGTCGTCTTTAAATCCGAATTTCAATCTGTTTAATTATCTTCATTTCTCTGGATTTGCTATCTACTGGAATCTATTCCTTTTTAAAATCGAAATCTGACAACGTATTCTTATATGCGGTGCAAGACTACTTTGTATATAGGATTAGGTGGGTTTCTCAATGTTCCCTATCTTATCTTTGTTGTGACTCTCACTCTCTCAGTGAATATAAAAGGTGTAAATTAAACGAATCTGCGGACTTTCAAGTGTTGGTATGTTGCTCTGCCTCTATTAGCAGTTCGATGGTCTATAACACTTTACATTTCGGTCGTTTATCCCAGAATTCTGACAGCGGTATCGATTAACTATACTTGCAGGTTGTGAATTTTTTGCATATGCTGCGGACTGTCGATTTCTCCTAATGTTTTTTTCTCTTTCTCTGAGGAAGGTTGAAGTTTGATCTGTGAACTTATAAGAACTTTTTGCTTACCGCAATAATTTCCATTTTATGCGTGATTTTGCTATTGTTCCATTCACAGCCGTACTTCGTTTCGCCTCTTATCTTATCATTCTTCCAGTGGATGTCGTGGTCTTTAATAAACAGCCTATGGAATTACGTGTTTGCACTTTCGAATCTCAGTCTCTTCGTCTTGTTACCGTTTAGCTACTTCTTCATCGAATCGCAGGGTTTTAGTAAGAACAATAATGTGAGTGGTGAATTTATTCAAGCTTTTTCTTACATCTACATATCAGATTACTTCAATCATGGTGGTTTCAGGGTATCATGCAGCGAGTTTACGAGACGCTAGCAGTATGTGCGTTGCTCATTGTTGTTATTCTATGTTTGGTTGATGTCGTGCTGACTTTAATATCGTCATCGGTAGGTACTTTTTCCACAGGTCTTAAATTTGATGCGCTCAGGTTTTCGTTTTGGATAGAATATGTTCTGATATGCAAATATCGGTCATTACCTCGATGCAGGTGTGCTCATATTTTTCTTCAAATGAATTGAAAAAAGCCAATTCAGTGTATGTCTTACATAAGAGAAAATTGATTTCTTGGGACTTCTGTACTTTAAACTGATCATTTCAGCCATTACAGGTTTCCCTCATCAGTATAACATCCGTGAATCTGCCACTCATCTATTCTTTTGTGTCGTTTGCCGGTGTCATGTTACTGCTGCTGTCGACTCCGATTGGATTTGCGAAAATGTTCAGCATTGTTGGTGAAATGACAATGGTGAGTGTATGAGAATTCTTCAACAGCTTATGCAAGTTATTGTTCGCAGAATGTTCAGCGAAATCTTGTTAGCAAGTCTATTTCTTTTCTTTGCAAACTGATTGATTGTCAACTCACACAGGAATTTTTAGAATTCGATATCAATCCCCGACCAGGACGACATAGTTGTGGATCGTTTGGAGAAATACTGTGAAGCTAGAAAGGCCGGAAGATACGGGACGAATAATAATATCCACAAAAGCAGCTTTGGTGAGTTTCAATCCTAAACCAAATTTCGAGCTTTTCTCTTTTTTTCTGTTTTCTTACTGTCATGTTATTTTTTTATTTCGTTTCTCTCCTTTGATATTTCCTCAGAAATAGAGTTTTGAATTCGTTTTTCATTAGGCTTTCACCTGGAAAGCCTTCCAGTTCTTGCCCGCTTTTTCAAAACGGTTTTTGCGTTATGTAAACTCTACTATGGAACACAGAACTATGCTGGATTTTTTTCTGAGCGAGCATTTGAATGCCAAAAACGAACGAAAGAGTGGGTTACGGTCTGGTTTCCCTTGGTGATAGAGTTTTGCATTTCAAATTGGCGCTTGCATGGTAGCGCCAAATGGTATCCGCGGCTAACAATGGTTGCCTTATATCAC